GACCCTTTCACAGGGGTCGCCTAAGACCATCGGAAAACACATATATAATTACATATTGTTTTTGTGATTAATCACTATGCTTTAATTATGTTCAATTTGTAACAATGAAAATACATCCTGCATATCAGATATTTACATGACGATTCATAACAGTAGCAAAATTACAGTTATGAAGTAGCCACGAAAATAATTTTATGGTTGGGGGTCACCACAACATGAGGAACTGTATTAAAGGGTCGCGGCATTAGGAAGGTTGAGAACCACTGATCTAGAGGTTTAAATGAGATCATGCAAACAATGTGCTTATTACAGGACCTGGCACACAGTAATCCCTTAAAAAATGTTAGCTATTATCACCATCCTGCTTAAGAAGTTACAGTGGAGGTTGAAAGAAGCTGATAGAAGGAATAATGGGACATAAGAAGTCAATACCATTAAGATGGCAGGGGTCTGAGAGCAGCTGTGCAGGAAGAAGCCAGGGCCCCAACCAGGAATGAACCAGAAGGAGGAGAGTGTCCAGGGATGGCCTATGAGAAAGATGTGAAATCCACTCTGAGAGGTGGTGCGGGCAGGTGCGGTTCCAGGAATGAGGACCAAAGGAACGCCCGGAAGACTGAGTGGTGAGCTCATCTATTGGAACGGCTTCCTCACTACTCTTCTCTATGAAAGGTGTATTCTTCACGTCAGAAATGGAAAAATTCAAACACAAGGAGGCAGAAAAGCATGCCGCTCAGCACCTTGGGGGCACGGCAGAAGGTTAGGCCCAGGATCCGAGTTTCTGAGCCCAGGCCACCTGGAAGGGACACTGATGTCAGGAGCAGGTCTATTCCTATTCTTAACTCACTTTTCCTCTCCCTGCCCCACAGCAGGAGGTGGGATTCAGACGGTGCTCATTCATCTTGATGGGGACTCTGAACACGATTCTATTCCTGGGTGAAGGGGCGGGGAAGCTAAACCTCCCCCGAGCTTTCCTCATCCTCGCTTGAACTTTACAAATCTCCTAACACAGCTCAGCCCACCGGACATCAGGGGACGCCACAGGGCAGGAGTGAGGCCCGGGCCAAGAGGAACAAGAGTTACAACTTGGGAGGCAAAATAAAAGCGACCGTCTTACCTTCATCTCGACCTCTGGGGCTGGGGTCTCACTGGCGCGGGGGAAGAGCAACAGGACTGCCGTGATGAGCAGAGCACCGAGGAATACCAAAACCACGGAGAACCTGGGGTCAAAGGGCAAGCGTTACAGCACTGCTTACGGTTTCCTCTCTGTCAGTTGGGCCCGATGGGCTCTTCCCTGGGGCCAGTCTTCTATGTTTCAGCCCATTAACAAAGCCCAGGGACCGGCTGTCCACGCTGCCTGTAAATTTAGAAATGGTTTCATCCCAAAGCCCTTCTTCCATGGCAGTACCAGCTGGATGCATTCCTGTTCATTCCGTCATTCCAAGCTTCCAAGAATGGGAATTGCGCGTTTTCCTTTTTGCCTCTGCAGAGTCATAATCACAAAAAACCAAAGTGGCCCCTCCCTCACCCCTACGTCCGTGTTTGTTTTGAGAGCAGAATACTTGAGTAAAGTATGTGACTCGCTGCTTTAGCCCGGGCACTGGCCAGGGAGCACAAAGCTACGGTGTTGTTGTGTCAGCTCATGGCCTCTATCCTGAGGCTGGTGCCTGATGGAGAGCCGGTCGTTAACAGGGTCCCTGGGCCCAGGCCTAGAGCTTAGGGACTGGACCAAGCATCGGCCACAGGCTGAACAATGAAGAAACTCACACATGCACAACCCCAACGCTTGGTGCTTGTGACACAAGGTGAAAATGTGCCAATAGTTACAGAGAGGATCTTCTGAATTCTAAATGTGTTATGAGCACCGGCGATTTTGCTCCTCATTGTTTTACCGTGGATTCCCGGGGGGAGAGGGCGCCTTACCTGGTTGCACCGGAGGCTCTGGACAACACCGCACACAGCAGCAGCGCCAGCACCCAGACCAGAGCTAAGACGAACACGCCAGTGCCCACGCCGAGCACAGTGCCAGCCACCTGTGGGGAGAGGAAGCCTGAGACCTGCACTCACCCCAGCCCTGGGCCAGGGCGGGACCAGGTGTCCTCTCAGCCCCCAGCCCGCCCACCTTCTGCGCACTCCCGGGGTACATGAAAGCACTCAGCCAAATACAGAAAAGTCCAAACTCATAATATAAAAGATGTCTATATGCATATGTACATATGTATAAGTAGGAATAAGTCCAACAAAAGATGTACAAGATTTTTATAACAAAACTTATAAAATGTTATTCAAAGATTTTTTTTTCAAAGACCTGAAGAGAAAAATAAAACAGACCCGAATAGAGACATAACCCATGTTCCTATTTGGGATGGTTCAACTTGAATAGATCTTAATTTTCCTTAATCTATCAATTCAATGCCATTCTCACCAAAAAAAACTCAAAATAATATTTTTTTTTGTGTGGAACTCGAAAACCGATCCTAAATTCATATGGAAGAGCAAAAGCCCAAGAATAGCAAAAACAATTTTAAGAACTAGGATGGAAACTTGCCTTTCTTGTTACCAACTGCCACAAGACACATTATAAAACCAAGGTAATTAAAACAGTGTGATGGTGGCATAAAGACACATGGACCAGCAGAATAAGATAGAGAACCCAGAGCCAGATCCAGGCATTTATGAGAGCTTTGTTCAGGACAGAGTTGGCTTTAGGATTCAGTGGATTTCATAGGTGGTGCTGGGACAGATGATTATCCAATCAGAAAATAATAAAATTAGATCTCTACTTTAAATCATGCACAGAAACCAATTTTAAATGGAAAGTAATTCATTATAAAACAGCATATGTTTAAATATACAAATGTTCGGGCTGACTACCCTAGAATACGTAATGAAGTACAGCAGTCAGATGCTTGCACCTAAACTTAGAATCACCATGAGCGGAAAAGTACCAAATGCAGGCTGATGCAGGTGCGTTGGATGGCAGCTCAAATACCACGAGCTGGGCTGCCTTCAGTTATGTGAATTTTCTAGAGTGATGAACAACTCCTGTTAAAGTTCCAAACCACAAATAAGTATAATTTCCCCTTGATTTACATTAGAGTTGCATTCCTGGAAATTTTAACTATGTTCCACTCTGCCAAAAAATACATTATGTTTGTCCAAAAAAATAAAGTTAGACTTAGGCTCCGATGATACATGAGTATCCTGTGGGACACTCCAGAGTTGTACAGGATGCAGGACAGTTCTTCACAGCGAGGGGTCTGTGCATCGCAGAATATCGAACAGCCCGGGCCCTGCTCTGTAAACCCCCAAAGTAACAATAATACGCAAATAGGCCCCCATACATTCCAAAATGACCAAGGAGACGTACCACCCCTTTGGAGAACCACTGTTCTGGAAAAACTCACGCACAAAGAGACATGGGCAAGGATGTTAGTTTATCACACCAAAACATCTGGAAAAACCTAAATGCCCATCAATAAGAGAATGGATGCAATATTACATACTCACACTGAACACGAAATGAATAAACTTGATCTATCTGTATTGATAGAAATATATCTCAGAAATAATGTTGAGTGACAAAAGCAAGCTGCAAAATGAAGCCCATAGTATAATAACACTTGTATTTTTAAAATGTACAAAAAACCCAATAGCAATATATATTGTTTATGATATATTATAATACTATAAAAGTATAAAAATATGGGCACGGATAATGCATAACAATTTCAGAAGAGTGTTTGCCTCTGGGAAGGGAGGGAGGAAGGGGAATGGGGCCAGGAAATAGATCAAAAGGGATCTGAACTAAATCTGTGATGTCTTATTTCTTTAAAATATACAACTTAAGCCGATGTGCCAAAATGTCAATGTTTATTTATCTAGTTGGTAGGGCATAGGTATTTGTTATACTACCCAGTGTAATACTATTTTTGATAATTTTCAACAATTTTTTAATTTTTAAAGAGGTAACTGGAGGCAGGGTGCATATGAATTGAAATCAGAGAACAGAGATTGGTGACCAGTTGGGATACTATTGCAGTTCTCTAGTTAAGAGATGTTGAGGGCCAGAACTCTGTCTTAGCTGTGGAGATGGAAAGGAGTCTAGGTCTAGGACAAAGGCATCAGAAATGAGGCAAGGTTTGTTGTTTTTTTTTTGCTCAGCAAAAGAAAACATCAACAAAATGAAAAGACAACCCACTGAATGGGAAAAGATATTTGCCAATGACACATCTGATAAGGGGTTGATATCCAAAATTTATAAAGAACTCATGCAACTCAACACCAAAAAACAAACAAATAATCCAATTAAAAATGGGCAAAGGACCTGAATAGATAATTCTCCAGAGATGATATACAGGTGACCTATAGACATATGAAAAGATGCTCAATATCACTAATCATCAGAGAAATGGATATTAAAACCACAATGAGATATCGCCTCACACATGTAAGAATGGCTATCACCACTAAAACAACGGACACCAAGTGTTAGCAAAGATGTGGAGAAAAGGGAACCCTGGTGCACTGTTGGTGGGAATGAGGATTGCAGACACTACTATGGAAAACAGTATGAGCCCTAGCCAGTTTGGTTCAGTGGATAGAGCATTGGCCTGCAGACCAAAGGGTCCCGGGTTTGAATCTGGTCAAGGTCACATACCTCGGTTGCAGGTTCCTCCCCAGCCTGGAACCTGGTCAGGGCTCGTGCAAGAGGCAACCAATCGATGAGTTTTTCTCATTTGGATGTTTCTCTCTGTCTTTTCCTCTCTCTTTCACTCTCTCTAAAAATCAGTGGAAAAAATATCCTTTGTGAGGAATAAAAAAAAAAAAGAAAGAAAACAGTACAGAGGTTTCTCAAAAAAGTAAAAATGGAACTGCCTTATGACCCAACGATTCCACTTCTGGGTATATATTGGAAGAAACCTGAAACACTGATTCGAAAATACATGCAACCCTATGTTCATTGCAGCATTATTTACTATAGTTAAACTATGGAAACAGCCCAAGTGCTCATCAGTAGATGAGTGGATAAAAAGGTGGTGGTACTTATGTACAATGGAACACTACTCAGCTATAAAAAGGAAGGGAATCTTACCTTTTGCAACAGCATGGATGAACCTGGAGAGTATTATGCTAAGTGAATAAGTCAGTTAGAGAAAGACAAATACCATATGACTTCGTTTATATGTGGAATCTAAGGAACAAAACAAACAAACACAAAATAGAAACAGACTCATCGATACAAAGAACAGACTGATGGTTGCCAGAGGGGAGAGGAATTGGGTTACTGGCTGAAAAACGTGAAGGGATTGAGAAGTACAGATTGGTACTTACAGAAGAGTCATGGGGATGTAAAGTACGGCATAGGGAATATAGTCAATAATATTGTAATAACTATGTCTGGTGCCAACTGGGTACTGGAAATATCAGGGGGAACAATTTGTAAAGTACCGTATATGACTGCCTAACACTATGTTGTATACCTGAAATTAATACAATAATGTTGAATGCAAATTCTAATTGAAAAATAAAATTTTTAATTAAGAAAAAATAGACGATGCAGGTTTCCTGCTTGGTTGACTGAGCTCTTGGTACTACCCTTAACAAGATACTAGTTAAGTTTAATTTGCTGCTGTTTTGGATATTACACACAAAAACCTGTAAGACTCGGACCAACTCGAACACCTAGAATACAGGGCAAATGGTAATGGAAGCCGATCGTTAGAAATACTGCCCATCAATCTGCACAAAATCTTAGAAGTTCGTGAGATACTGGGTTCAGTATATGGTCTGGCTTTAAAGTAATGAGATAAATATCCCCAAACTCTTACAAGAATGAAGCTCAACACTTTATAACCAAGCCGTACATGTCCTCACTGAGCGTGAAAAGGAAGGGCTGGATGGAGCACAGAGTGCTATTGCGGGGAAGGAGTGAGCATGCAGTCACTTTACCTCGGTAATTCAGTGTGTTTTAATGTGAATAATATATTATTTCCCACACTAGAATAGGTACATTATTGAGTAAACGTTGATTTAAAATAGTAAAAACAACAGTGTTTTCACTTAATGTCCGGGGCCTTTTCAAACCTTCTTTGAGGACTGATGGTCTAGCCAACCTGGGTTCCAGGGGAAGTCCATTTACTGAATGTCTGTGGCATTTAAAACAGGTAGATTGGCGATGGAATAAAATAGCCGGTCTAGCCCTGGCCCGTGTGGCTCAATAGGTTGGAGCGTCCTCCCACTCGCGGCCAGGTCAGCGCCCCATCTATCGCCCCGCCTCTTCCAGCCTCCTCTGGCCCAGCCTCCTCGGCCCAGCTCCCTAGGCTCCAGCCTCAGCCGTTCTCACCTCCGCCATCCTCTCCGCTGCTGGCGGCCCCACTCCTCACCTCCTCCCTCCCCGGCTTCCCACACCTGGCCGACCCACTGGTTTCAGCGTTGGTCTGCTCCTAACGAATCACAAAAGGGCTTTCATCCAGGCTGAACCAGATTCGCTAATCAGCTCTCCTCTTTCAACGCCCAGCTTCCCCTCATTTGCCTACGCTCTCCATGGCTCCAGGCAGCGTGGTGGGCGGGCACGTCGCACCCCGTTACTCCCTCCGATTGGTTGGAGACGGTCGGTCCTGGGACCCCCGCCTTAAGCTCGATTGGGTAGAAGCAGTCCAGGCTCCGCGCACGCCCCACCACGCATTGTCTGTCAATCACACCATCTCCTAGGTAACCTGCAGCTCATTGGCCAGTCGCGCCTGAGGGCGGGTTGTAAGTCGGGGAAGAGCTTTTTTCCCGCCACCCCTCGCTGTTACTAGGGGAGACTTCAGTGTCTTGCGGAGGTGCGCAGGGTCCTGGCAACCCTTTCCTTCAGGTCCAAGTGCGGAGATAGATACAGCCGTCTGGACATTAGTGCCTGTTTCGGGGTCTGAGGGGCACCTCAGTTCCTGAGCCAGTGGCGCGCCGGTAGGCAAAGCAGACGTGGCCTCAACAGGGGGGACAGGCCCAGTTATTGAGGGTCCTTCATGCTCCCGGAGAGAACCGAGTACGGCGCGGTCGTTGTATAGCATCATGTTTTCACGTAGTCTCACCTCGCCTTATTTTATGTGGCCGTATTCTCCCGTTATTCTTATGAAGTAGACGGTGGCGAGGCTCATTCTCCTCCCGGGACAGCACTGGGAGGGGAGGCCACGGCTAGTGGAGTGAATCTGCCGTGGCCACACCTCCAGGTCTCCGTCCCCGGAGCTGGCACACGCTTTCAGCCAGCGGCTCTGAATCCAGCTGCGAACTGAATTGAAACTTGCCGTGATTCTGTCGCGAGGCTGTAACCTGTTAGACCCAAAGATCCATAAACCAGGCTAACTAACCAAAGGAAGTAGGACAGAGGATGCACGCTCCATTGCCGAGCCCGGCAGGGAAAACAGAAAGCAAAACAGGACCACATGTGAGAGCTCTAGGATTCGAACCCTCGGCCGCACACACCGTTCTGAACTATCATGAAGCAAACGATCCAATCCTGGGACACCACATCTTTTGATTTAGGGCATCCAATGCTGAATCACAGCTTTATGAGTGAGATTGAAGACGATGGTTGAACGCCACTGAATGTATGTCTCAAATTTATTCTACTTTTTAAAAAAAAAATATCGTTGAAAGTATTACATATGCCCCCCCCCCTATTAACCTCTAGCCTTTTGGCAAAGTCACAAACAAGTCTTAACCCTATATCAGCTCCCCACATCTCATCTCACCCTTTTTTTTTTTTTTGCTTGTTCCCTCTCCTGCCTTCCCTCTGAGTATTCTACTTTCAAAGTTTCATTTACAGTCATATGCACAACCACTGATTTCTGATGTGTTTAACAACTTGACCTTCCGTGGACCAATGAGGAGCTCTGTGGTTAAGAAAGCCATTATTTTGATTAATTCATTTGCTTGGAATTGAGTGTTAACCGTAGCTAAGCACTGGTAGGAACTGTGAGGATTACAAAAGAAATACCATGTGACTCCTGCCTTAATAGCTCGTGGTTTGCTAATGAAGCAATTGGAAGATGCTTTAAAGCAAGATATAACAATGGGCCAGACTTATAGTTAATGGCTCCAAATAATAATAAGGCTTCATATTTACAGAGCATTTAGTAGTTTTCAGAGCACTTCTTCACTTGTATTATTTGGGTGAAATATTGTTTTGGTCAGAGTTAATGTGGCTCTTCATGGTATAGGTAGAACTAATGCTGTGCCCTGGCATTTGGGTAGGAATGGGAAAGGTGGAACAGAGATGAAGGGAATCCAGGGAGAGAAAGTAGTTTGAGCAAGAGGCCGAGACAAGAATGAACACTGAGTATGTGGGAAATAATGTGGAAACTGGTCCAAGCCAGAGTGGAGACAGATAATGGAAAATAACATTGTGTAGACCAACCGGTCAGGACCAGTTCTGAGCCCTTAATGTTTTGGGGGAAAGTGTTCAACATTAGAGTTTGGGATAGTTAATAATTTCTAATGATCAAACTGACTTATGTTAAATTATAAATTAAGAATAGGGCATGAGCCCAACCGGTGTGGCTCAGTGGTTGAGCATCGACCTATGAACCAGGTGGTCACGGTTCAATTCCCCGTCAGGGCATATGCTCAGGTTTCAGGCTCGATCGTGGTGTGGGACATGCAGGAGGCAGCCAATCAATGATTCTCTCTCATCATCGATGTTTTTTTCTTTCTCTCCCTCTCCCTCTCAGAAATCAATAAAAAATAAAATAATAATTTAAAAAATAGGGCATGAGTGAGGAGGCACTCCAAACTTCTTACAACTTCCTGACTAGATATAGCATTTTGGGTTTTCTCTCTTATAAGAAGGTATCCTCCCCTCAAACCCCACCTTTAACTCACTCCTTAACCAGGAAGAGGTGTTAGTTTTCTGATTAGATAATGCTATCCTACCCTCTCATTTAAATGAAAGAAGTGCTGTCACCATACCACTCCATCTTTTGCCATCTCTTAATCAAAGTTCACTCTAAAGAAAATTTATTATTTGACTATCCAGTCTTTCTCTTTTAAAAAATTGTCTCCTGCCCTAACCGGTTTGGCTCAGTGGATAGAGCGTCAGCCTGCGGACTCAAGGGTCCCAGGTTCGATTCCCATCAAGGGCATGTACCTTGGTTGCGGGCACATACCCAGTAGGGGATGTGCAGGAGGCAGCTGATCGATGTTTCTAACTCTCTATCCCTCTCCCTTCCTCTCTGTAAAAAAATCAATAAAATATATTTAAAAAATAAAAATAAAAAATTGTCTCCTGTATGCCATGTTACACGGTGCCTCTCCACATTGCTCCACATCCCTGCCATATATGTATCACTCACAGAGTACTACCTGTTCAGTGCACATAGGTGCCATATAGGTGTACATTTGTTTAATTACAATTTTCTCTTAAACAAATAAAAAAAATCCAAGCAACGATAACTATAAACACCACTATCTAATTTCCTCTCTCTCAAATGTGTAAAGTCATTGTTGTACTGTCTGGTAGAGAGGTAGGGTAACAAAAATGAGGTTATTGCCCTAGCCTGCTTGGCTCAGTGGATAGAGCGTCAGCCTGTGGACTGAAGGGTCCCAGGTTCAATTTCGGCCAAGGGCACATGCCTGGTTTATGGTTGTCATAACTTTTTCTGACAGGGAGCCTTGAATTTTTGGTATACATTTTCTTGTGTGATTATTTTCGCATTTCTGCAGGTACATTCTGAAAATGTGCCTAAAACTTAGTAATTATTGGTATTTCGCTGAGACTCAAAAGCTGCCATTATTCTGCTAAATTGGGAAACTGAGTAAACAGAAATCCTCTCTCCCTCCTGCCCCCAGTCATATTGTCAGTAGTTACTGATTTTCCAGGTCACCCAGAATTACCACCATGATTTTCTAGATTATAATATTCACCTTATGCTATAGAACAGGGGTCAGCAAACTATGGTGTGTGGGCCCAATCTGGCCTGCCATCTATTTTATGTATGCCCTGCAAGCCAAGAATGATTTTTACATATTTAAATGGTTGGGGAAAAAGAAAAATATGAAATTACATGAAATTCAAATCTCGATGTCCATAAGTCAAGTTTTTCTGAAGCACCAGCATGCTTGTTCATTAGCATATTGTCTATGGCCGCTTTCACTTTACAACAGCAGATTGGAGCAGGTAGTACAGAGACTGTATGGCACATATGACTACAATACTTATTATTGGGTCTTTAAGAAAAAGCTCTGATCCTTGCTATCTTAGAGTTTGCTAGTGAATCAGACCCCATGGAATGTTGGAACTGAAACAGACTTTGGAAATCATGCAGTGTTAATTTTTTAAAAATCTCACATCGATAGAGACAATATCAGTGTGATTGATAAAAATCTCACATCGATAGAGACAATATCAGTGTGATTGATAAAAATCTCACATTCTTGCCTAAAATCACATAGTCAGTAGTAGTAGACCCCTGGTTCTGTTGACTCAAGGTTTCTTTCATATATGTTGTGTCTTCCTTGGGGTGAGATAGGTCTGGAAGCAAAGAGAGTCATCAAACATTGTCCTGATTTTGATCTGATGCCTCATCCAGATGAATACACTGCATGGTAACCAATTGATGGATACTTGGACTTTCATGATTTTCTCATTTCTCAAAAGGTGTATGGCCATCATGAAAAACTTTCTTTTCTCACTTTCTCTCTTTTCCCAAATCTGTCTCCTTCATCAAAGGAATTCAGAGGTGGCTGATTTTCTGTTCCGGTTTAAGGTTCTTAAGGGAAGTGAGGATGGTTAGAAAGGCATAGGATGCAGATTTCACTCTGGAGTCCAGGGATGGGCCATGTGTGTGGAGAGAGGAGAGGGAGTGTCCACAAACCCACTGGTGAGTTTAGTGTATATACCCATATGTGGGTTTTTCTGGGGAGGGTATCCATAGCTTTCCTAAGATTTTTAAGAGACCATGACCTCAAGAAGATTTGGAACGATAGATATATAAAACATGTGTTTGGGGGAGACTGCTGCTCAGAGGTGTGGTGGGGGAGACTGATCTGGGTTCTACGGTAAGGCCTCGGCTGATATGCGGGAAGAGCTCTTCGCCCACTCACATCAGCCCACCTAAGTTTTCTTTCTTTCTTTCTTTTTTTTTTACCTTCTCTGCCACTCATAAAGGTGATAAAAATTCATCAGATTCACAAAGCGGTTGAAGTCAGATGGTGATGAAATCCCAGCATAATTGTCACCAGAGAACGTCCTGATTAATAGAAACTGCAGAGGAACTAATTTTATGAAAATAGCAAACGGGATTGTTTTAGCTGAAGCAAGCTGGGAGAGCGGGTGCTGATGCAAACAGCTCCATTGTGCGGTGCTGACAGCTCCAATCTGGCCGTTTATTTATTAAATGTCTTTCCGCTGTAAATTATTAAGCCTGGATTCTGGGAGACGAGGGAGCAGACAGAA